GTTATCTTTTCCAACCATCCAATGGTAGAAACATGAGAACATGAAAAAAAACAATTTAACTATTTGACACAACATGATTCTTTACAGAGCTCTGTCTTACCTCTTCTGGCTTTGTGCAGCTCTTTCTTTGCCACTAAAGTATCAAATTAAGAGAAGAACAATTTAACTGTTTGACATAACATGGTTATGCTCTGGATTTATCTCAGTGATGTATCACAGTCACTTGTGTGGCTGCTTCTATTTCTGACACAGTGACTTGTGTGGCTGCTTCTGTATCCAACACAGTCACTCGTGTAACTGCTTCTGATCCGTCACAATCAGTCCTTTTAGCTGTTTCCGTATCTGTTACACTCACTCCTTGTGGCTGTTTCTGTATCCATCACAATCACTCCTTGTGACTGCTTAAGATCACAATCGGTTGTAAAACCCACTTTAGGATCATCATCTATGTTTTATACCCGGTAGAAGGGTCATAATTAGCTGTAACACCCCACCGCAGGGTCATCATCGACATTTATACCCGATCATGGGGTCATCATCAGCTGCAACAGCCCTTTGTTGGGTCATCATCGACACCTGAGGGTTTAATGTTGTTATCATGGGGTCATAATCAGCTACCAAACATCATTGCAAGGTGATATATACGATATTTTTACCCATTTTTTTACTATTTTTAATATGTTTTTAATAAAGAAATAAATGGTTTTTGGACTTAACATGTTACTTTTAGCATTTTCATGGGTTTTGAGGTCAATATAGGTTTTTGGAGCATTTTGAGCCTAAAATGAGTGAAATCAAGCCTTTTCAAGGATGGACAAATCCTGACTGTCAGATGTTTCGCTCCAGATGAAGAAGTTTCCACCGTCAGATCAATCTAATATTTTACCACCAGATAGAAGAGGATCTTAGCTTCAAAATGAAAATTCTATCGCCACAATCCGACGGTTAGATCTTAGATCTTAAGATATCATTGATCTACGGAAATCTGTTCAAGTAAGGATCAAGCTAAAGGCGGTTCAAAATATCTACCCATTATTGGTCGATCATCGTGTAAAAATGTATGTCCGTAAAAAACAGTGAGTTTGCGTCCGATCGATCGTCTCTGGCATTCAGTCAATCACGGGTAGATATTCTGAACAACCTTTAGATTGATCCTTACTCGAACAGATTTCAGTAGATCGATGATATCCCAAGATACAGCTTTATGAA